GCATAGACAACTGTTAATAAACACTTGTATCTTCTGGATGATGGCTTTCGTAGCTCTCTAGGTTCCTGCTTCATACAGTAGCACTGTCTTGATTTCTGTATTGAAAATTCTGACTTCGGTTCTGGTTGACAATTATTTTGAGTATCAGATGTTCTTCAGTTGTAAATATGCTGCTCTTGCTTTACCGATCCTCGCCTTCACATCTGCATCAGACCCACCGTGTTCATCAATGATGCTGCCCAAATATGTAAAGGTTTTTACATCATGCAAATCTTCTCCGTCAATTGTGATTGGATTGTTGCATGTTGTGTTGTATCGGAGAATCCTGCTTTTCCCTTTGTGTATATTGAGACCTACTGCTGCTGAGGCTGCTGCTACACTGGTCGTCTTCTCCTGCATTTGCTGTTGCGTTTGGGATAGAAGGGCCAGATCATCTGCGAAGACTTCACCTATCACCGTACTATTAATTCATACTTTTATTGATTATGATCAGTTCTGTAATCCTTTTCCTTAAGATGATAAACCTATCGAAGTTAGATAACCATTCGAAACCTGAAAGAATTTGAAAAGCGATATCGTTCTAATGTAAAATCTACGAAGCCAGTCACAGATCAATATATACAAAATGTACGTATTCAAAATGTCATTCTCGTATTTGGCTTATTTAATTCCGTTATTCACCAATGCGATTTAAGTCAATGATTATATACGAGGATAGACGATATATGTACTTCCATAACATGCATACGATACAACTGGAGTCAGATATGTGGCCACTTAACTTACTTACTCACTTAAGCCTGTTACTCCTAATGGAGCACAGGCAGCTGACTAGCATTCTCCAATGCACTTAAATACTAATACCTAATTAATTAAAGCTATGTATTGAGCATTATAATTATGAGTAATGTATTTGCATAATTATTTCCTTAATAATATTGGGTTGGTGATGAAGTGGAGTACTATGTTACTATTATTCACGACAAAATGACTTGAATATTTATTAAAATACTGTCCATCATTGTATTTATCGAACTGACATCCTTGTACTGCATCAGAAGTGTATGGAAATTAAAAAAATTGTGATAATGACCACTGATCGTTATATACAACAAGCTAGAACAATAATGATAATGATATAATCATTCAGATAAGGTTTATATGTGTTATAACTTTCGGCCTTGTGCCCTATTAATATAAAACGTAATGATACCGCCAATTAGAGAACAGTGATTTATCGACCGAACCAAAGACGCGTAAAACACGTACGAGCAGTCTAGAGTACTTATCGGTCATTCTTCCTACCTAACCCTGCCTGGTCAGTCCAGAACACTAATCTCAGCCTCTACGATATCAATCATGGATTTCAAACATACTGAGTTTATATACAAAACCAAACAGACCATATCATACTATAAAATAAGAAACAACATTTGTACAAGATATACCCAAAAGTGGCTGTGATTATGGGAGACTGTCATTGATAGACTGGGCATAACAAGAATTATAAATCGTATAATAATAGTCTATGGGTCAAAATGAAGCTTATAATAAGATGGACATGATTTTTTGTTATTTAACAATTATACGATAAAAATATACGTATAGGATTAGTTCATAGATAGATTCCGATAGTTACCATGGATTATTCTCATCTGGATATAACACTACTTGCTTATGTAACGAATGTATTGAATGTACTATTGGAATAAATCATGGTGCCTGAAGTTTTATTTAACTCATTTGAGGTAAAACTAGACATACAATGCAGAACCCCTGGGAAAAAAATTAACGTTAACCAATGAGGAGACAAAGATAATCAAGAAAATGATATGAAAAACAATTTTGAACCTCATCATGCTGCATAATGAGCTATTATTTGCAGAATAGGCTTAAGGAGACAGCAAACTATTTTCAGTACACAAATGAGGTTTGAGTTTTCGTATGGCTATGGCTTCAATAAACCTTAGTATACTCCCTTTAACACTTTAACACTACAACACTACAAAAACCGTGTTGAGATCAATCATCTTATGACCTGTTTCAACTATGTCTTTGGCAATCCAGGATAATGGATGTTTATCATGCATTTTTATTGGGTTAATGAACTGAGCCAATGGGCTTCTGTATTTAAAGTACAAATCTGAACTTAGTTTGAACTTTTTCATTTAACATTGCCGACATAAACTTTAAATTGTTTATGTAATAGACATAATGTAAATTATCAGATGGGGTTTTGTGGAGATTTTAGTAATTTCAATAGTTGAAATCATGAGTCAATTGAAACTAGACCACCATGGAAAACCTGGAAGCACTGGATGACCCTTTCGTCCTAGTATGAGACTTATCAGCAGCGTGCTTCAAAGAATGTAATCCCCATGATAAATTTTAAATTCACTATAGAATGATAAGAATTACAAAATGGAATAAACTCAATCTATTTTTATCTCTTAAAAATAGCCTGAAGCTAAATCAATGATTGAAAACTGTTCAAATGAATAAGTGATGGTTGTAATTTAACTAATAACATAAAAGATTCTAATGATTTATGACCAGAACAGAATTTTCAACGAAATTATCTAAATTGATTGAAATTTAGACATGGTGGAGAAGATGATTTTGATAGAGTTTTATTCTTTGAGCTAGATGATTTCGTCGTGGAACTTCAAGTAGACTTCTGCCTGAAGTTTGTCGTTCAGAAGAACGATGAAAGCTCCATGACTAAATCATCCAGATCAAAGAACAAAAGTCCATCAAAATTTAGACATATATACGATGACTTATCTAAAGTTATAAAGAAAATAAAACTCAACCGGTAGCTCTTCTAGAGTTACTGCCGGTGTCAAACCCGAGTAAAGAAGGAGGGTTGTGTATGAGGTCAGCAACTCGATCTCGTAGACAAAAATCTTGCCAAAAAACGTTAACTAGATTTAAAAAATTAAACTATTTAAAGAATGAAGGAAACCATAACTTAATGAGGTGGATCATAAGATAAGAGTTTGGTAAACATTAGTAGGAAAACTTATGAGATTATACACTAATATGCATTACGTACTCTTAAAAAAAGAACATATGTGGGTCATCATTTCAAATATGTAGATTCTTCTGAGAACTACACTTTGATAATCGGTTTCTTGCAACAGCTAAGTAATTACTTGTCGATTCACAGCTTAGTTAGTAGATCTACTTATAATATTTCAAGTTTGTTGTATCTAGAGGTTAGATTCTTGATACACCACGTAAAACGCGTGCAGTCGAATGCCAGAACACTTCAAGTTGCAAATAAGAAGATAGGAGACAAGTGAAAGGAATTCTATTCCAAAACGGTGTCAAACATAATGAGAAATTCTCAGGTATTTATAGTTTTCAGTAAATACAAAGTCACGGATGTGTCTCTCGATTTCCTGGATTGGTTGAGATTAGACATTAACACCGTTAGATACCGACTCAGTGGCCTAGAAGTTTAGCATTCGCATGCGAGACTTGAGGCCCTGGATTTGGATCCCGCGAGCGAGATCGTGAATGCGCTCTGATGAGTAGTCCCATACTAGAACAAAACGGCCGTTCAGTACTTCCAGATTTTCAATGATTGAACTATTTTAGATCAACTCATAAATTCAACTTCAACAATTTAACTATTATACATATGTTCACTTTGTGTTGTTTTACTTGTATCTTCCCATTGTTATTTAGGACTGCAATTGATCAATCACTTGTTGGCACATGTACATCCTGTATGGACTGCCTTCATATTGCCTGAATTTATTAACTTTATAAGTAAAGACGGATAGTGGTTAGCAGTGGAATCCAGGACTCATGTTTCGTCCTATTTTGGACTCATCAACTGGATGTACCTGCATCTCAAACATGTTGATGTTCACTCTGGGACTCGAACTCGTTTCTTGGATTCCACTACTAGCCACTATCCATCATTGCTTATAATTATTTAATTACTTACTTAAGCCTGTTACTCCTAATGGAGCACAGGCCGTCGACCGGTATTCTCCAACACATTTTCTCCTGGGTCATCTTTCCTAATTCCATCCAATTCTTGTTCATTCTTCTCAAGTCTATCTCCATTTCCCGGCGTAATGTGTTCTTTGGCCTTCCTCTTCTACTCTTTTGGCCTTGAGGATTCAGTGTGAGGGCTTATCTCGTAACGCAGTTGGGTGCTTTCCTCAATGTGTGTCCTATCCACTTCCAACACTTCTTCCTGATTTCTTCCTCCGCTTGAATCTGTTCTGTTCTTTCCTACAGTAGGTTGTTGCTGATAGTGTGTGGTCAATGGATCCGAAGTATTCTGTGTAGGCAACTGTTAATAAACACTTGTATCTTCTGGATGATGACTTTCGTAGTTCTCCAGGTTTCCGCCCCATACAGTAGCACTGTCTTGATTTCTGTATTGAAAATTCTGACCCTGGTGTTGGTTGAAAATTATTTTGAGTTCCAGATGTTGTTCAGTTGTAAATATGCTGCTCTTGCCTCACCGATCCACGCCTTCACATCTGCATCGGACCCACCATCATGTTCATCAATCATGCTGCCCAAATATGTAAAGGTTTTTACATCTTCCAAATCTTCTCCGTCAATTGTAACTGGATTGGTGCATGTTGTGTTGTATCGGAGAATCTTACCTTTCCCTTTGTGTATATTGAGACCTACTGCTGCTGAGAGTGCTGCCACACTGGTCATCTTCTTCTGCATTTGTTGTTACGTGCGCAATAGGAGGGCCAGATCATCTGCGAAGTGTAGATCGTCCAGCTGCATCCTATCTGTCCACTGTATCCGGCGTTTCCCTTCAGATGTTAATGTCTTTATGATCCAGTCGATCACCATGAGAAAGAAAAAAGGTGAGAGTAAGTAACCTTGCCTGACACCGGTCTTTACCTCGAACGAGTCTGTATTGCTTATAATACAAATATATTAATCAATATTTTATTATATATCATAATAATAAACTTTTACTTTCTTTTTCTTTTTTTCTTCATTATTTCTCACAGAATTACAAAGTACTCAATCAGCATTGAATCCATCCCAACAAAAATCATCATCATCATCATCATATTATAATCAACAACAATCAATGAAATCTAATAAACAATCATTATTACATAATTATAAATCTAAATCTAAAATATTTTCTATTAAAAATACATGTTATCAATTAATATATAATTTATGGTTATTTTTACGTTGTTTCTTAACATTATTATGTTTATTACCAACATGTTTATTTCATTGGTTGCTATGTGGTAATGGTGTTAGTGGTGGTGGTGGGGGTGGTAGCGTTGGTAATCAAAAAATTAAAAGAATTCAACGTAGTCATAGTTTTTTATTTTATTTATATGTTACTATCAAATTATTATATTTAATAAATATAATTGGACAAATATATTTAATGCAAATATTTCTTGGTGTCAAATCATATTTTTTTGGTATTTATGTATTAAAAGATTTAATCTATGGGAATATATGGAGTGAAACAGGACATTTTCCACGTGTAACCTATTGTGATTTTGAAGCGAAAAAATTAGGAAAAAATTATAAGTAAGTATGAATGAATATTTTAATTGTTTAAAAAATAATTATTTGGATTTCCCACTCCTAACCCCTACCCTCTCTCTCTCTCTCTTTGTTCCCCCCCCCATAGAATATACAATAGCAACAAAAAATGGAGAAGAATATTTGAGTGAATAATTGTTTTTATATTAATTTCAGCATTAATAGGTGATAAACCTTACGAATTGAACGCCATATTCGTTTCTTAAGCTATTCTGTAACCCCCATGCTAGAGCTATACAGCGACCTGAACAACGAGAAAGAGAGAACGCAAAGTATGCGAGAAGTACTTTACTCCAAGGTTCATTTCAATACAAAAAATATAGAGTTTTTATAATCATTTAAATGTCCTTGAGTTGTTCGAAGATTCTGGAATACTACTAAACATAGTTGCAGTGTAGCAGCCAGCCAATCAAAACATCTACATGTGATATTTCACTTCCTTGATATTTTTGACTAAAACTTCAAGTGAACGCTGATTGAATGAAACGCATCTTAGTGTTTCCTGATCCTTGCTTGTCTTTTGCAAGCAATTTGCCGGATCACTCCAACAATATCATTTTGTTTAAACTATAAACTTATTTAAAGAAGGGGTTTTTGTGGATATTACAGTGACTTTTATTAATTGAATTGATGAGTTAATTGAATCTAGATCAACATGAAGAACTTGGAAGCACTGAACTGTTGTTTCATCTTAGTATAGGATTCTTCAGTAGTGTGCATCCATGATTCAGCCTCATACGAATAAGAACAACAACTTATCAGTCTCATGTGTGAACGCTTAACCTTTAGACCACTGAGCTGGCCAGCATTCAAAGGTGTGAATGTCAAACTAGGATGAAATGGTCGTCCAGTGCTTCCACGTTTTTCGTGGTAGTCTAGGTTCAATTGACTCATGAATTCAACTATTAAAACTAAATAATTTCTGTATCTACTAACTATAGTATTTAGTGTATAGAAGTCGTTCAAATGATTTTCAGTTCCGAAAGGGCTTCTTAATGTCATACTGTTACTACATAGAATACTTGACATAACTTTTCAAGAACATTTCTTTTTAAAGACAATAAGGTATATATACCTTAATTATAGTAAGATTAAAATCAGCTATCGGGTTTTATAGTATCGACTAGATCATCTGAAGGGAAGCACGGAATACAGTGGACAGCTAGGCGACCTGTAGTTCGCACATGATCTGGTTCTTCTATCGCACACGCAAAAACAAATGTGAGAGAAAACGACCAGTGTAGCAGGAGTAGGCCTGAACATACACAGAGGGGAAAGCAAGATTCTCCGATACAACACAACATGCACCAATCCAGTTACAATTGATGGAGAAGATTTGGAAGATGTAAAAACCTTCACGTATTTGGGCAGCATCATCGATGAACATGGTGGGTCTGATGCAGATGTGAAGGCGTGGATCGGCGAGGCAAGAACAGCATATTTACAACTGAAAAACATCTGGAACTCAAAACATCTGTCTGTCAAACAACACCAGGGTCAGGATTTTCAATACAAATGTCAAGACATTTCTACTGTATGGGGCGGAAACCTGGAGAACTACGAAAGCCATCATCCAGAAGATGCAAGTGTTTATTAACAGTTGCCTACGCAAAATACTTCGGATCCGTTGGCTATCAGCAACTATCATGAATAAACTACAGTGGGAGAGAACAAACCAGATCTTGGTGGAGGAAGAAATCAGGAAGAATTGTTGGAAGTGAATAGGACACGCATTGAGGAAAGTACTTAACTGCGTCACAAGGCAAGCACTCACTTTGATTCCTCAAGGTCAAGAGAGAAGAAGAAGACCAAAGAACACATTACTTCGGGAAATGGAGACAGACAGACATGAGAAGAATGAACAAGAAATGAATAGAACTAGAAAGGAAGACAGAGGACAGAGTTTGTTGGAGAATGCAGATCAGGGGTCTATGCTCGATTGTGAGTAACAGGCGTTAGTAAGTCAATGATATAAGTTATATCCTAATGAAGATTAGATTACGGGTAATGTCTGAGATCTATTAGTGGACTAATATTATGCATACATTCGTTCAGTATCTAGATTATGTATATCTATCTATATTCCTCTTATTATGAGCTTCATTTTGACCTATAAATTATTATTATGATATGATTTACTATTTTAAAGTTATATTCAGTTAACTGATTACAATCTTCCATATTCACAATCACATTTTAAATTGATCTTGTATCAATGTTATTTTTTTATTTTATAATGTATTTCAATCTGTTTGACTGGTATATAAACTCCTTCTGATACTAATCAACATATGCTCACTAGTGACTGACTTCAAGAGAGATATTCTGGAGTTCTGATGACAAGCAGTGACTAGTAGAGTTCAACCGGGTCAGTTGTGAGGTAGTGACTCACTGATAACAATGGTGGATGTGTCGCTCAATTTCGTAGATTAGTTGAAATTAGACATTCACACCGTTAGATGCTGGTCAGCTCAGTGGTCTAGTTGCTTAAGCTCCTGGCGCGTGACTGATAGATCCTGGGTTTGTATCTCTTGAGGCGGGTTCGTGGATGCGCACTGCTGATGAGTCTCACAATAGGACGAAACGGCCATCCAGTGTTTCCAGGCTCTCCATGATCTCAACTATTGAAATTACTACAATCTCCACAAAACCCCTTCTGATACTAAATATTTATTGATTTAGTACAATACTAAGATCGATTAAATCATCTATCGATTGTCCAATAAATTACTTAATCATTAATTAACCGTAATACGTTCTAATTTATCTATATATATCACTATTTTTTTCTTTCTCTTCTTTTTTTATCTTTTCTTTTCTTTTTCTTTTTTTTCACAGATATACTTTACAATGTGTATTACCATTAAATTTATTTTTAGAAAAAGTTTATGTTTTTTTATGGTTTTGGTATCTATTTATTGGTTTATTAACATTTTATAGTTTAATCAAATGGTTATTACGTTTAACTCTATCTAAGAAACGTATCAAATTTATTAAAAAATTTTTATATTCTTATCAATCAATCAATCAATCAATAAATCAATCAACCGATTTAAATCAATTCAAATTATTTATAAATCAATATTTAAATCTTGATGGTATCTTCCTTTTATGGTTATTATCAATGAATATGAATGATATTATGATGAATGATTTAATTAGAACATTATGGAATTTATTTTTAACAAGATTATATACAATACAATCGATAACTTTATCAAAAATCAATAATCCATTAATTGATTCAATGAATGATGATCAAAAGAAATTCTCCTATTTATATCAATCAATCAATAGAAATCAATCAAATGTATTATTGAAATCAATAATCAATGAACAAAATGATCATAATAATAATAATAATAATAATAATAATCAATTATTTAATGATCATTTCATGACATCATTAAAGAAATATCCAATAACAAAAAATTATTCAAAATCATTTCTATATAATCACGATCATATTGATCCGATATTCTATTTAAATTATAATCATAATGATCCTTTCATATATTCTAAACAATTTCATTCATGTTGTCAACCAGTAACTAAGTATGGAGAAACAATGAATGTTACTACTAATAATAGTAATAATATGAACATTTGTCATTCGACAGATATATTTGAAAGTTCCGATAGCATTGTATAACACATTCATATTCATCATGATGAGTTTTCGTGTGTGTGTGTGTGTGTACGTGTGTTTGTGTAAATTTTATATAAAATAAAACATATGCTCATTAGTGACTGACTTTAAGAAGTATTTCATGAAGGTTTGATGAGAAACAGTGATCAGTCGAGTTTAACTGTATCTATTGTGAGATAGTAACTCATTGATGAGAATGGTAGATATGTCGGTCAATTTTGTGGATTCGTTGAAATAAGACATTGCTATAACTTGTGAACCTGTGTGCCTTGTTTATTGTATAACGTAACGATACCGCCAATCAGAGAGCAGCGAATTATCGATCGAATCAGTGACGCATAAAACACTTGCGAGCAGTCCAGAGTCCTGATTGTCTGGTTTCCTGTCAAGCCCAGCCAGTTAAGTTCAGAACACCAATCTCAGCCTCTGCAATATGAATCAATTATTTCAAACATATTCGATTTATATACCAACCACACAAACCACAAGGTACCATAAAATAGGAAACAATATTTGTACAGGAATTAGCCAAATGTGGCTGTGAATAAGGGAGATAGTAATTAATAGACAGTCCATAACTCAACAAAGGTAAGTCGTATAATAATAGTTCGTAGGTTAAAATGAAACTCATAATAAGAGGGACATGAGTATGAACGGTTTAGTTACACAACAATTATACGATAGAAATACACGTATAGTATTAGACCAGAAATAGATCCAAACAGTTACCATTCATTGTTCTTATCGGGATATAACAGACATCAACACCGTTGGATGCCGACTGGTTCAATGGTTTAAAAGTTAAGAGTTCGTGCACGAGACTAATAGATCCTGGGTTTGAATCTTACAAGGCAGGATTATGGATGTGTACTGTTGAGGTGTCCCATACGATTACGAAACGGCCATTCAGTGTTTCCAGATTTTCAATAGTGGACTAAATTCAAATGATTTATGATTACGACTATTAAAATAAAATGTATTTAGTTTGATAAACAAAAAGAGAAGAAAGACTGAAGTTCTTTGCTTATGAGTTGATCTCAGTAATTAGTAACTAGTAATACTGTTCAGTGTAGTATAATGATTACGCATTTTCTTTGTAAGCCTCGTTATTTATTTGACCTTGTAGCTTGAGAAGAATGAATACAATGATCTGTCAAGAAGTTAGAATAACCCATCAGTCAGTCAGTCAGTCAGCTACAACGTAGGACCAGGCACATATGTGCATCGGTCCAGGTTGCCATACCGCATCAGCACAACAAGATGAACACCGGATTCATAGCAGTGGTTAGGTCAAAGGTAGTAATATATAAGAGAAAGATTGCATATAGAGATATAGTACAAGAAGAAAGAATTGGTTCGTAGAAAGAAAGATATGAAGTGATTTTAATCTCTTAGTTTAAGGGAAGACAGGGAGTGTATACACCGACGCCATTGTGATCGATTCTGAGCCATGTCACCAAGAGTCTCCAACCATTGGTTACGATAGTCACGAGGACCCCAACCAAGTAGTCTGCATCGCCTAACATGGCTCAGACTAGAAGTTAGTGACTTCAAGCACTAATGCCACGTTTTGGTTTGGCCGCCTCTAACTTTCTTCCAACCATTTCCAATACCGGATAGCATTGCACGTCGTGGTAATCGGTGTTCAGGCATACGTAACACGTGGCCCAACCATCTCAGTCGGTGAAGATTCATAACCTCATCAACTGATTTACCATCATTACCTAATACCCTGCGTCTAACCTCACTATTACTTACTCGGTGATCCCAGCAGACGCCAGCAATATTTCTAAGGCATCTGTGGTCAAATACTAATAGCTTACGAGTGTCTTCTACTCTTAATGGCTATGTTTCGCTGCCGTAAATTAAAACAGAACAGACTGCCGCGCAGTATACTCGTCCCTTAGTTGATAGACGGATATCTCGCCTTCGCCATAGGTGACGCAAGTTGGCAAAAGCCAATCGAGCTTTTCGAATCCGTGCTGAGATTTCGTCCGATACCAACCCATTAGGGCTGATCAGACTTCCAAGATAAGTGAAGTTGTCGACGCGTTCGACTACTTCACTCCCTATCCTTAGTTCAGGTGTTAACGCAGACCAGTCCTGAAGCAACAACTTGCATTTAGAGGGAGAGAAGCGCATTCCAAACATCCTGGCATTGTTGCTCAGTGCTACCAGAAGACTCTGCATTTTGTCAGCGTCTTCACCAAACAGGACTATGTCATCTGCGTATTCTAAGTCGATAAGTGGACCTCCTGGTAGGAGATCAATACCCGAGAACTCAGTCGACGAGAAAGTTATTTCCATCAGTAGATCTATGATGAAGTTAAACAAAAATGGAGAAAGTGGACAGCCTTGAAGGACACCACTTGAGGTTGCAAAAGTAGATGACAGTTCCCCATAAGCTCTGACTCGACTAGTAGTGTTCGAGTAAAGAGCCTTTACAAGGTTTATGTACTTCTGGGGTACGCCTTTCAATGACAGACACTGCCACAGAATCTCGCGGTCTACCGAGTCAAATGCTGCTTTTAAGTCAAGAAAGACCACCATTGTCGGACGCCGATAAGTATGCCTGTGTTCTAGAATCTGACGAATGGTGAATATGTGGTCAATGCAGCCACGACCAGGTCTAAAGCCAGCTTGGTTCTCTCGTGTTTGCAGTTCACGAGTCTTAGTTAGGCGTCTGATAATTATCGAGGCTAGTATTTTAGATATTATATTGGTTAAACTAATCCCTCTGTGTTTGTCACAGGATGATTTTGACCCTTTCTTATATATTGGGACGATAAGTGATTGTGACCAGTTAGATGGAATAACGTCTAACTCCCAGATTTTAGCTAAAATATTAGTCAACCTAATCGCTAAAATTGGACCACCATCCTTAAAGACCTCTGGAGCCAATCCATCTGGACCAGCTGCCCTTCCTCGTTTCAGATTAACTATAGCCTTTTGAACTCCAGCAAGAATAACGCATGTAAACTTGGCATTGTACCAGTCACTACAGCTTCCATGAGATTCTATGATGATAGTATTGCAGTGTAGGTTACGGTGAGACTATAATTTATGGACGAATCAATCACGTGTAAGATAATAGGTCTCGGATTTTGGAGCGAAATTCACTCATCCATTTTAATAAATAGAGTTTTGGCATTATAAATGATGAAAACCCTAGATCTAATTCCTAACCTTAATCATCAATTGTACATCATAATTCTAATTCCTCACATTGGTTTAAAACCCCCATTTAGTTCTAGATATTAGGTGGATACTCTCAACGTCACTTTAGCGTCAATCAATGGTCGTCCATAAATTATGGTCTCATCTAGGTTACTATGTTAAGCCCATATACCATATTCTAGCTTCTGAAAAGGTAGTCAGAGGGACAGAGCGAATAGAAGAGAGCGAAACGAAATGACGCGCAGTGAAAATGGCTTGTGAGCTAACTCCATTTAATCAAGCGTGAATCGATATTTATGGTCACACAAAAATAAGCTACAGACATGTAATGAATAGAATAAGAAGTATACACACATGTGCGGTCATATAGAAACAGTCACGGTTGATAAGTGAATAATTAACAAGATCAAAAAGTAACTTCTGCAGAAGCTAGAATAAGTTATTTGGGCCTAACATAGTAATCGATACTACCGTATGCCAGGAACCAAATAGATAAAAGCCTACGGAACGGTATGATACTCACGTGATAATCTAATTTGACAAACGATGGACAATATTGGTCAATGATTTCCGAATCCATAGTCTAAATTTACCATGCTCCAATTTTAGTCGACCAATTATACGTAGCTTTCATTATCCAGTGTCACTGATGTACCCAGCGGATACTATAATCACCGCAATGTCATGACATGTTAAATCAAATTTATAAGCAAAACTACTTCGTTATTGAGAAATACAAGTGAAAGCAGCTAACTGTAAATAGATAAATTGCTCATCAGATCAAGACTGGCACCCACATATGCCAATAACAGACTGATCAATTGCAGTCTTAAACCTCAATGGGAAGATACAAGTCAAACAATACCAAGTGAATTTAAATTCACCCAATTGCACAAGCAAGTGGCTATCAGGACTCAGTAACTAAGTGGATGACGCGATGGCGTTTGAAGAGAACAGTACTGGGTTCGAGACCCGAAGTGGACATCAACTCTGAGGTGCAGGTACATCCAGCTGACGAGTCCTAAACAGGACGAAACGCGCGTCAAACTGGATTCCACTGCTAGCCACTATCCATCATCATTAAGAAGGATGTTTCCTCCTTACATAGTTTATAAGATTTCTCCCTATGAGTATATCTGCTAACTAAACATCATAGAGCATAATCAATAGATTTGATCGATTAGCTGATTTTATCGAAATGATATCTTGATGTCTTCAGTTTAAGAATCTTTTAGATAATCTTCATTTTGAAATCATAAATAGTTGTTTAGAAACTAAATTAAAACATGCCTACTTTGCATAACACTTTTGACTCTAATTCCATGTTCATTTATGATGATTTTAATAAATCTATCAATGTTTTTTTCATTGATCATGTTGGCTAATATTCATTAACCATCTCGTATGAATTGCCGTTCGCACTATCTAGCTGTTATTGAGCGGGTGAATCTTTTAGAAGTGGTCAGAATTCACAGCTGAATGTTCGATCTATATGTCAATATTAGTTAGCTATCGGATACTATAATTAAACTGTTAGTGATATTGATCTACATGGCTTATAGAAACAGGAGCTAATAAAAGGTATATGATGATCCAGATCATTGGGGAGACTGACCGACTATATTCAGATACCATAAATTGTTTATTTCATTAACAACTTTCCATCATTTGTCCTTCAAATTCTCTATGATTCTGTCAACCCACAATTATTACCTATTTTCTCTTCTATTCCCTTCAATTCGATTTTCTTAGACTCCTGCTCCCAGGTTTTCCACTTCTAATTGGTTTTACATACTATTTATAACTGTCAATATAAGTAGCATACACCACAGATATATTGAATATCACAAACCATTCATAAAGAGTATAAGAT